GTTGTAATTTTCCTCTTTATCTAAGAGAAAATATGCGAGCTGATGGGGGGTTTAAACGGAGGTCAACTTCCAGTTTTTGCAGAATCACAAAGTCGGTTTTCTTCTTAAACGGTACCGTCGTCGTGACATTTTGTCCTGAAAACGTAATCCGCTGTGGAATAGGTTTAGTTCAGAGGAGGAAAATGCCGAAATGTGAGTGCCACCTTAAACATTTCCCCACATAAAAAGTAACGGCCGAGAATCTTTAATCTCCCGCGGGTCGTTTCTTGTGTTTGTACCAGCTTGAGTGCTCAGTCTTACCGCTTGCAAGAGTGTTGCAAAGTGTGTGTGAGGGAGGGAAAAACGCCGCCCTCGATAAGATAAAAACCTGGGAGAGAGATTCCTCTAGCAGTGTCCTCTATGGTTACTTCTAACCCTAATGAGATTGTTTTTTTAATTTCAAGGATTCATAAATCCTGCATTCAACTCACCTTTGTGGCATGGGAGAGATTACCTGGAAACTCTGATGGTGAATGAATTCCAGTGTTCTGCATCTGCAGGTTCAGATTATGTTTTTATTGAGATTTCATCCTGAAGGAAAATTAAATTTAATCCAAATTCTGGAAGAAGTTACTAACATTATTATTATTATTATTTTGATGTGCAGGTTGAACTTACCCTATATCTCTGAAACTCAAAATGAGTAAAAATCTCCTTTCCCGGTATATTTTGTGACTTTGAGTTTTGTCACATCCATCCATTTTCCATTTTTTCTGGCTGGTGCCGATTGGTCAAGAGGCGGATTACATCCATGTTCCATGTGTTTTCAATCCTCTATACATTTTCTTTTAAATCAGTCTGCACAACTAAAGAACGTAAAGGCAAAACTCTTATCCCTCTCTCCAATATAATCTCAGGAAAACTGGGTCTGGAAAAGTCTGGAATTTCTCCATGAAAGCTGTGTGGGAACCCTGCATAAATGACGAGAGGCAGCTCAGAGAGCGGTTCCTCTGTGGGTTTGGGACGGAAGCAAATTTAAGACCCACTAAATATAAAAGGTGGTGAATATTAGGTCCCAAACAGGCCAATGTCCTTGGCCATGTTCTTAACACTGCTACTGCAATAACAATATATTGTCGATATGCTGTTCAGCCAAAGCAATCACTGCCGGAACTGTTATGGTCACAACATGACTTTACGACAACCAGAAATGTTCAATAAAACCGTTTAACTAATTCAACTTGACGCCTTAAGGGATTAATTACCACAGAGTTAAAAGCATAAAAGTTTTAAAGGGGCAGTGTGTTATACATTCTTTCACGCATATTTGAGAAATCCGTTAATCTCCCGTAGCAACCATTCAATCGTGCAAAATGCCTGGTTGGACCGAGAGTCACCTTCGACAGCGAAGCTCCATTTTCCAAGCTGAGCTTCTGCCCACTCAGCTCCTTCAGACTAGCCAGCCGTAAATAGCAACCACCTGGTGGAACAGAGCATCTGCTGAGTTCATTATACGAGCTGCTTCCATTGAAACGCTGCTAAACGGTTAATAGAGGAGCGATGTAGTGATGACTTTACAACAACCAGAAACTCCTGAAGGTGGAGTTTCAGAAAGAGGAGGAGTTTTTAAAGAGACAGAGGCCCAATTTGAAGGTGTTAAAGTTACAACATCAAATTTCTTTTAACTGAACATAGCTACTTGATTGTGCTATAAAATTCCACTAATGACAAATACACAATACTGCCCCTTTAATGGAGCCTCCCCATTTTAAACAGACAGAAGATTAATTTTTACACTGCTGGTGCAACTAGATTTTTTGTTTTTATTTCGTAAAACCAAAAGCAAGTCATTTTGGGAAACAACTTCCCCTCGTTGATCCTATGAAAGTAAAATGCACACAAAGTGCTGCTCAGTCTTACATGAAGTAAAGTGTGCATCTTCTCCTGCATGCATGCGACTGTCACCACGATGTAAAATTGCAAAGATAAACCCATCAGTGCTGTCAGCTTTTCCAGCAGCTGCTAACCATTTTTACTCTCCTGCAAGATTTTTCCACCTTACCATGGCTTCTTCCCGTTTTTGGCTTCTCCCCGCGACGCTTTCACTTTGAAGCCGATATCCGAATCTTGAGTCACTCTGTTCGACAGGAGCGCAGTGGTGAGTCATGGACTGAGAGATCTTTTTGACTCATGCCTCAGTCGTAGGGTTCAACCTTAACAAATGAAAACGCTACTGCGAAATCTTGTCGAGCCACTAAAGGGCCGACCGCAGAAATGCAGAGGAACAGTTTCATATCACGATAACTATCATGAGGTTTTCCCTCAGAAACAACAACTGACCTTAGAGACAGATGTGTTTTTCTGTGATGCATCACTAGAGGAACTCAGACCTTTCTCAGAAGTGGATTGTTAGGTTAGAGTAATGAGCTATGTGGCATTAACAAAGAGCAAAGGTTTTCATTTGTTACTTGTTTTGTTCCTCGTTTGTAGTCATTTACACTGTAGCTTTATTACCTTTGGATTAATTGTATAATTTATGTGCATGTACTTTTTTTTTTGCATACATATACTTCCCAGATTATTCTTCCAGGAGAGTTAAAGACATTTAGAAGCTGCAAACTGTTCAGTTTGCTTTTGTGGTTCTAATAAACACAAAATTGTCTTTGTCAGCTTTTTGAGTTGACAAGTAATTATAAAGAATTCATTTATTTTCTTTTTTTTTTTAACCTAGTTTGGTGAAGCACAAAGGGGTTCGGGGGGCGCTCATGTCGCCCTGGTTGGTTGCCCATGTCGCCCATATCAGAACTGTACATTCTTCACAGTAAATAAATGAAATACTTTGTTGTATATCAAGAAAGTATATCCACTTTAAACACTATGCTAAATAAATAATTTGTTCTCTAAACATCCTTGTTTGGAGTGACTGTCCCTTTTAGCACAAATCTGACACAACTAACCCTGTGATTGGCCAACATCTCCGAGTGTGAGAATGAAGTTGTTTTGATAGCTGCTCACCAGACATGTGGCTTGACCTATGAATCAGATTTTCCTCATCCTGTTAAATGAGAGACTGACCTCGGATAAAAGTTAACACTCACACTTAAACCTTCAGATCTGGAAGGGGAAAGAGAAAATCTATGGGGTGTCTACATTTACACAATTTAGCTCCCTTTACTTGGAAAGTAAAATGTTTTTGGGGACTGTATAAGTTGATCTGCCTGTGTTTTAGGGTTTCGCTGTTGGGCTGAGGGAGGAAGCTTTAACATCTGGTTGAATCTGACGGACTCGGGTGTTGTGTGGCCAGAATGTCAGAAGCAAAATCTCTGTCATCGGAGGAACGTATGTAGGATGTGGAGAAGGGCACTCAATTTGGCTCAAGAAAGTTTTGGAAGACCGTTTGACAGCTTAGAAAGGGAAACCTGGGACAATGCCAGGCTGGAGACATGCAGGACACTGCTGATTGGTTGAAGGAGTGCTTTGAAGATCTCCCAAATATGGCCACCATAGAGGAATGCTGAGAGACTAAATAAACTCCCTGATGTCAGGACCTTAGTTTTGGTTGAGACACCTCTTAAATGTCATGTAGAGGATGCAGACAATTCCTGTGGTACCAGTCGGTAGGAAAGGGGATAGGAGATTGTGTTCCAGTAACAAGCAGGTCCCACTTGTAAGGCTCCCTCAGGAATGAGGCTGTGACAATAAATAAATAGGTTTGATTGAGGTGAGTTGGGCCAGGAATGTGTGTAAAGGTCGTGGTACCTCGTCCCACCAGGACTCTCTTTAGAGACGAGGCTCTGACCAACTGCTGAACCTTGAATTCAAGAGACGGAGAGCGGTTCTCATCCCTGCCTCGGAACAGTGGACAAGATAATTATCTCTTGCAAAGCTGCCGACAGCGTCACAGGAACTCGGCTCTCCGGTACTTTGTGGTTCTGGAGAGGGCCTTTGACCCTGTCCCCCCCGAGGTGTTTTGTGGGGAGGCTGTGGTAGTACGGCGCATAAGAGGGATGCCTTTAAGGACTATCAGGTCCTTGTGTAAGCAAGGCAAATTCTGTGGCTGCATTTGTGACATAAACTTGAGCTTATGCCCAAATCCTGCTTGTGGTGTTTATGGACAGGATCTCAACACTTGCCGTGGAGAGGAGAGTATCTGGTAACATCAAGGTTTAAAATGAGCCATTTGCAGATGATGTAGTTCTGTTGGGATCTTTAAGTCATGACCTTCAGGGTGCCCTGAGGTGGTTTGCAGCAGAATGTGAGGAGGGATAAGGTCGTTGTGGTCAACTGGAAAAAGGGGTGACTGCTCCTTTCTGCTGGGAAGTTAGTCTCAACCTCAGTTAGTAGGCCATGTACTGTAGTGTCTTGTTCAAGGGGTGTAGGATGGTATCGGCTCCCTACCAAAGGGTTCCCTCCTTTGACGATGGACAGATGGAGTGAGGGTTTGCTCCTTTCTACTTATTTTTTTGTCCCTAGTCTATGTTCATGAGATATGGTTTGTGACTAAAAGAACAAGATCCCGGATACAACTGGGTTCCTACCATCATCCTCCAACCACTTCTTATCGTCTTCAACATCCAGTTGTTGATCACGTAACTCGTCTGATGCAAGAAAAAAAGTGTTTCCAGTGCAGTTCTGCAAAATAAACCAATTTTGATACGTCTTAGTGTCAACAGTTTTTCAAAATTGCCGTTTTTCCATTAGTCAAATTTATTTTCTAAATGTCAAATCGGACAATTACATGGTCAATGGAAACGCAGCTGCTGCTGCACATTATGAGATTTGAAATCCACTGTTGCAGACAGAAAAGTTGTTTAAAAATGTTCTTCACGTGGAGGACGAACCAGTTGACACACATGTGACACAGATGTGGAGAAAAACAAGCCCTGAACCATTAAAATATCAAAACAAGATTCAAACACCGCCATGTTGTTTATGCCTCAGCTGAAAGAATTTCAAAGTATTTCTCGCTGAGGATTTAATTGCCTTTGTTTTGGGTTTAATGCCTGTTTTTCCCGTCTCAAGGCACCAGTCTTCAGCAGCCATGCTTTCTCTGGACGAGCCGCTGGACCTGAAGCTTCCCTCTGTGAAGTTTGGAAAGAGGTCCTGTCCCTCATCGATCTGTGCTCCTCTCCACACCTCAAGGCCACGCCTGCAGTACACCACCTTCCCATCGCCGCCCTCCTCACCAGGTAACCAACCCGGATGACTGAAGCTCTACCAGCTCAGTTAATAGAAAGATTGGGTCAAGTCAGGCATCCGCGTGGCATTGATGATGCCTGGTGTCACAATGAGTCTTTAACAAAACCAATTCCCTGTTCTCACTTCTCCGGTAACCTAATATTGTAAATCCAATAGAAGTTTGCTCCTCACACAGAGGTGGATTGTCAGCAGATTTGGAAGCGTCGGCTCTAATGAGTTGAGCGTGACACCGACATGAAGTGACCCAAAGAAAACTGCAGCTGATGCAGACAGAATCATACGTTTGTCTCCAAACCAGACTTCCCACTAAGCACCGAGGCACGTCCAGACCACACCCGGGGCAGAGGTGGAAACCGAATCAGAGAATGGTGTTTATTAAGTCGGAAAGAAATGTAGTTTTCAAGCTAATTAGGAAGAAGTGGAAAAACTTTGTCAAATTGCAGCTGTGACACGTGAACACGGTGTAAGGCTAAAAAAGTGATTTGTGTAGATATTTCTATAAGTATTTTATGTGGAATTAATCCTTTTTAAATAAGGATGTAGGATTATATTTTGGGTTAATGTTAATATTATTACTGGGGCTAACATATAGCTAATATATATCTATTTATATAAATTTTATGTTATTTATTACCAATAGGACTGTAAAATAACTTAAATAACTGATATTCAAGTATGGCAGATAATGTACTTGAGTCTTTCACTATTCTATCAAATACATTTAACAAAAGATACTTTGCTTTTTCATTTTCTTTCTTTAAATTATGCTATAATTAAACGATTAATTTGTTTACTTTGGTGAACAAAAAATGCCGCAGGTCTATGCAGCTCCACGTTGCGGTCAGGTGCTTCTTGTTTGCTTAAGTAAGTCCCCACATGTGCATACAAGCTGTTTGTGCCCCGGTCAAAAACAGATGGAACCATAAATAGTTTTTTTTTAAAAAAGAAGGCCCACACAATCAGTTCTATAGTTCAGGAAAAAGAAACTCCTTCTGATCATCAAAAGAAATATGTGGTGAATCATGAATTAAGGAACTGTTATGAAAGTAATTATTTCCCATAGGGGGCGTTATTGCAACAATACAAAAGAAAAAAAATATATAGGAATGTGATTTTAAAGTACTAAATTCCAACATGTCTACTATCTGAAGATGGATCAAAACTCTGAGCTTATGAGAATCTAAGTAACTCAAAGCAACTTCAGAGACCAAGGTCTGACTTGTTAACATTTAAGTATTAACCCTACTGATAAGCTCTAAATCACTTTGGATATTAAAACCAACTAAAGCCTGTTGATGCATATTCTACACAAACCAAGGATTGTACTAAAAACATTTTCCTGATATCTGGTGATTGAAGTTATGCTAAATCATGACTTGTTTAGCAAATGAAAACAAGTCATGATAAATAGTAAATAGTAAATAGTGGTGGTTTGTGAAATAGTGACCCATTAACGTTATTGAAAAGTTCATTTATTTCAGTAACTAAATTCACTAAGTGAAACACATCTTATAGATTATGCACAAACTGATGTCTTCAAGCTTTTATTTCTGTTAATTATAAGGATTTTCTGGCTACAGCTAATAAAAACTTCACTTTATATAAGAATTTTACATCAAACCAATAAAAAAATACAATCAATTTAACATAGAAATGTGGGCTTAAAGAAAAGTGTGTTTAATACCTGCTTGAAGGTTATTTTCAAAAGGTGCTTCCAGTTTGTTTAAATGAGCCTCATTTAAACGCATATTTTTAATTTACAGAATGACTGTGTTAGGCAGGTGGGAAGTTGCTCAGGGCAGCATCAGAAATGGGGGTTACACAAACTCCAGATAAAATTATAGAAATGACTGTCAGTTTAATCATGAAGAAATCTTCTATTACTTTTATGTACGTGGAATCTATGGAGATGTGGCGCCCCCAAGTGTTGAATATGCATATATGTTCCATATTTTGTGCATTTTGTTGTTCACCAGAATATCAGAGGATTTTCCTCATTTTTCTATTTATTCACTGGAACCAACTGCTACATTCAAATGAACAACCTCCACTTAATTTAGTATTAGATCAGCAAACAAAACACATATTGTTTTTATGTAACTGGAATTGAACAGTAAATAGTTAAAGACTTTTAAGACTTATAATACTGAATACTAAATACTAAATAAAACATAAAGATTTCAAAGATAATGCATTTATTTTGGTGTATAAAATTGTTTAAAAATATTCTTTGTCATATTCTTCTTTGGCTCGATGGGATATTAATTGTCCGGAATTATTGATACATTTAAAGTCAAACTAAAGTGCTGCTGCATGAATAAATCTGCTAACACAGTTACAGGTTGGGGGAAAAAGATCTGAAAAGCTTAAAGAAATTTGACCTAAATAGTCTGACTGGTCAAAGTCAGCTGATGTGAGAAAGAAAAATTACAAAAAAACAAAAACAGAATTTAAAGCTTAAACACTTAAAAGTTAAAGGTCAATTAAAGCACCCGCAGGAACCACTTAGTGTAAATGTGATTATACAGGCCCATGCAAACCGCTCTATAGTCTGACATAAAACAGACTAAAGTTTAACCTCTAACTTTCTGATCCAGATTCCCAGTCTTCTCAGGAGCGACCCGGCTGCTGCTTCACCCCTCCAGCCATGGACCTCAGCATGTCCCCGTCTTCTCAGCGGGCCCTCTCCCTGTCTCCGTCTCCGTCCTCCCCCTCGTCCCCCTGCCCTCCATCGCCCCTGGAGTCCCCTCACAGCAGCAGCAGCAGCAGCAGCAGCAGCAGCAGCAGCCCGCAGCCTCACCTCTTCTCTCGGGTAAGAGCCGCTGGTTGCACAGTGACACACAGCGACATGCACACAGTCACATCAGACGGCCACGGCAGCACTGAGTGTGTATTTAGCTTGAAACCATTTTGACTGTTGACTTTAAAGCTGCAGTATGTAACTTTAAAAAAAAACAAAACAAAACATATGTATAGTTTTACATGTGTGTTGAAACTGTCACTATATGTTGTGTATGTTGTGACAGTTTGGCAGGAGACAGGTAATCTGTGAAAAAAAAAAAAACTGAGCTCCTCTGACTTCTCTCATTGCTAACTAGAAACAACCAATCAGAGCCAGGAGGCGGGTCTCATTGCTGTCAATCACAATCTGGTGTGGCGTTGCTCACTCCCACTCCAGTTCCCCTCTTGCTCTCTACTAGCTGGCGGAGCGTGTTGTGAATGCTAGGCTAGGTAGCAGGATCACCGATGGTTTTCTTCTGTTTTTACCATCATCTTAAAAGAAATATACACTTAATTAAAATTCACATTTCCATAGTGAATACGTCTTTCGTTTGATAAATTATGAAATGGTAGATTCTGCATTTTACTGGTTTTTTTTTGTTTGTTTGTTTGTTTGTTTTTACACCTGTAGGTAGATTTAAAAACTAATCTTAATATGGCGCCAATGGACAAAAACTAAAGAAAAAGCTAATCTCTTATTTAAAAAAAAATCTCTTGGATTTGAGACGGGAAAATTTGACGTCTGGTGATTCAGCTGCTTTCTGCACAGCTGCACAAAAACAAAGAAGGTCAAGTCAGGTAAAACACACTTAGATTACGCAATAAAATACAGAGTTTTTAGATAAAAGAATATTATGTGTGGTTTAAAACCCAGTTTTGCAAGCCGTGTACACCAAAAGAGGAAACTTGTTGCCTAGTTACGAGTGCAAATCCCAGACAACACAGCAACCACAGCTAGATACTTCATCATGACTTGTCCTAGTCCAAGTAAAGCATGCTATGTCTTATTTTATTCATTTATAAACATTAAATGATACAATCGTAGATTATGATTGACTTTGTTCTGAATTATTACTTTTGCACAGCAGTCCGAGTCACATCTTTAAACTTAAAAATGAATTTTGCCTTTAAATTTGTTTCACAAACAGAAATGAAAAATGCTCTTTGCAAAATTTTACAAAACACCACAATCTTCAGATCTGTGTCCTCGTTTGATTCATCCAGTAAACTTGAGTAAAAATCCACTTGACGTGCGTCACATCGACCCCTGACTTCTTCTTCTAAATAGTGAAATATGCTATTTAATTTGTCTGAGTCCAGCTGTTCAGAGATCGGAGATAAGTCAAATTGTAGACGTGCTTCAACTATGAATAATAAAGCATGTTTTTTTAATTTTTATTTTATTGAAGATTAAATCTTAAATCTCTCACAAGAACGTTTTTTGAGCCATTAAACTTTAAGCTGACAACTTTAAGAGGTTTTTCCAAAGATTTCTTTTTCTTCTCTAAGTCCTTTTACCAACTGGTCTCAATCACTCCAAAAGCCAATCCTCAGTTTCTGTTTTTAAATAAATTTGATCAATCTGTCATTTTTCAAAAGGAATCATTATTTTTGCTGTTTCCTTTTCTTTTTAAGTTATTAAACGATGTTCCTATTTTCAACAGCATCAAAACAGTTCTTGGAGCTGTCAGACAACAGATCTAACAGTAGGGGGCAGTAGATGCAACAGAAAGAAACTGTGTCTTTTGATTATAAAAAGAAATTTGTTCCATATTTGCAAAAAGGACAGCAATGGATTTTTTTCTAGTTTTTCCTTATGTTTTTGTTGTTCAGCTGTAACATTTGGGATTTTAAAAAATAGAAGAAGAAAAATATTACTATTGAATTCAATCGATCCCTAACAGTGCCTGGAAGTATTAAGAGATTTTTAAAGCATCTTAAAAGTGCAAAAGAACAGGTTAAAGTTAAGAACTTTTCCTCCGTTCATAGAATTACTCATTTTTAGTGTAATGTGAAGGCAGTTTGTGTGAACTCTCAAACCTCTCTCCGTGTGATCGTCTCCTCTGGTAGGAAGCGTCTTGGCATCACAGCGTTGATGGTGGAGCCTCTCAGCCCGGATTTCCATTCTACTTCCCCATGAGGAGCCTGCAGAGGGGCTACAGCTTTTCCTCCTCTGTGTTTATCGGCCAGCACAGAGAGAAAGCCGTTTCCCCAGAGCCCTCGCAGGAAGGTCAGCTGGCCTGTCGGTGGAAGAAGGTAAAATTCCTGCTCAGTTTGTGCAAGGTCTGATCAAAATTATCTTTCAATATTTAAAGAAATAGTCGTTTCTGATACGTCTGATGTTCAAGTGTGGAAAAAAAACTGCAGCTGTAACTCTGGCCACTAGGTGGTGGTATAAGTAAATAATAACATTAATATCAAATAGTCAAATAAATAGAAAAAGAAAAGACAGAGTAGTAAGCACTAAATATTACACTTAACAGAAACCAATACTGAACTGAAACTTATGCATAACATGTTGGAGAACTTTGAGCAAAGTTTTTTATTTGTAAAATCAGTTATATATATCTGCCAAGTGTGAAACATTGTGTACTTTTACTCGCTTTGAAATAACGTCTACAAGAAATAGCCAGGAGATTTTTCCAACACCTCCCACTGAAATTTAATTAGAAGAGTGTTTAAGTTTTATAACAATGTCTAATGATTGACACAGGGTGAATGAACCCGTCATATGTTCATTCAACCATGTAAACCACACGACTAAGATTCCCAAGAGTTAGAAAGTTAAGCTATATTACATACCATTCCTGACAATAAAATACTGAATATCAAAAAATGTGAATGAAAAATTAGGAGTCAATGTAAATAGAAAGTCCTAGAAATTATTACGCATGGATAATAATATATAAATGTTAGTGTTTTGATTTAAAATGTGAATTATTGAGATTACACATTGAGATAAAAGGCAGTGGATAGAGTATAAATATATTTAAAACCATTTCTGGTGCTTTCATATGTCTTGGAAGTAGAGAGCTGATCTCCAGGGGATCCTGGGTAAGATACAGTTTTAATGAAAAACAATCGTTGGTTGAGAAAACGTGACAAGAGGTGAACCAGAACCAGAACTAAAATGGAGAAACATCATTCAGTGTTTTATAGTCTCCTAATCATGGTGTACCATGTGTTGGTACACTGGGGACTAGGAAATTAAGTCTAATATAAAAGAATAACTAGACACAAGAAATAAACAAACTAGAATCACTAGCTAAGGACTGAATAAAGTAAAACAGAAACAAGGCTGATCTAATCAAAAGAACCTGATTTCTTCTGTATTCTTTAATGAATACAGAAGAAACAAACCCAAAACAACTCCAACAATCCCAGACATAACAGGAAAAAACTTCGAGGAAACTGCAAACACGCTGGAACACTGACTTTCTTGAAATCAGTGTCACTAGTTTAGATTTTAGTTTAGATAGTTGCCTTTGATTAGCAGTAAGTGGAACACTGACCAACATATTTGACGTATGCTTGCTTTGTGATTTTTTTGATGGCAGTTTATTGCTTGTTTAATAATTAGTAACTACATTTTATGTTCCTGTGATGTAAAGCACTTTGAACTCCCTTGCTGCCGAACTGTCCTGTGCAAATATGGCAGACTTGATTTAACCAATAAGTTATTGTCACATAATGTCTTGTACAACATCCCTCACTGATTTCTGTCCTCTCCAGTGTCACCTGCTTTTCGACTCACTCCAGGAGTTGGTAGATCACATTAACGACTTCCACGTCAAGCCCGAGAAAGACTCTGGGTACTGCTGCCAGTGGGAGGGCTGCGCCCGCAACGGGAGAGGCTTCAACGCCAGGTACGGTGCACACACAAGGGACAAAGGGTTGAGCTATTCACACCTGATGTCCTGTTGGAAAAAGGATATATTGGGTGTGGACTAATCTTCCACGTTAATGACCTTTTAAAGAGAAGTTGTCCAGAAAGAACGTTTGAGAGTATTCGAATAAACAAACCTAGGTGTCCCACCAAAGGTCATGTCCCGGTTAGGAGCAATTCTTTAAGCCAAATCTTTTTGGGTGATGCACACACCTACAGCATCAGCAAAGCACACGTATGACGGTTGTAACTTTATGTTGTTTGCGCTGCAGGTACAAAATGCTGATTCACATCCGCACCCACACCAACGAGAAGCCGCACCACTGTCCCACCTGCAACAAGAGCTTTTCACGTCTGGAGAACCTGAAGATTCATACCCGCTCCCACACAGGTGAGCCACCCATCCACCCGAAAATCTAAACAAACTGAATACGAAATGCGAAAGACTATTCAAATTAACATTATAGAGTACTGCAAAAGTATTGACTTGCTGTAAAGATATACACTGACTGTAATGTTTGGCATTGCATCAAATTGTCATTGCAATACACTGTATTCTTCTTTCTTTCTATTGTTCTTTATTAACAATGTTAACCGTGGTACAGTTTCTTGGAACCTGTCATCCGTTTTAAGAAGCAGGGAATTTCAGGAGTTTGTTTAGGTAAATATATTAAGCAAATTAGGTCACGTTGGCCAGTCCCCCGGGTCAGGGGGGGAAAAAGTCAGGGTTGGGGTGGGGGGGGGGGGCGATAGTTACCTGGCCCCTGTGTGTGTACAGCTGGTGTGCTCTTTCACGTATCTTCCGCAGGGGGTTTTGGGGGGAGACGGACGCGCGGACGGACGGAGAGAAGGAGCGTATCGGTTAGTGTGTTTTACCTAGAAAACAGTTGGAGAATATATCGGCAAAACTATGAGTGAAACAATGACTGGGCAAGCCGACTATATAATTTACAGGGGGACCACCTCTTTATTGTTCTACATGCACCTTACTAAACAGGAGAGAGTCCACTTTCTCCAGTCTGTGATCAGACATTAAAACGAATGGAAACTCTTCCTCTCTCCTGGGCCCGGGGGCCCCTGCTCCAGCTGCTGAGGTTTTATAATGGTGACTCTGTAATCTCGATCTGGACAGCTGCAGAATATTTAACTTCATCCTCCTACATAAACTTCTTTTGTTGAATTGAAACATAGCAATGACCAGTTGCTAAAATTTTCTCAATTGATGTAGCATTTTCATTCATTATTTCTCTCTGATGGGTATATTTGCTTGTCTAAATGGAAATGGCTGCCTACTTACCTTATGTGACTTTAGAAGCATCAGAGACAGCGACATTTTCTTTCTGTTTGAGAAACAGATGCATGTGTAACAAATTTCCTTTTAGCCACCCTGAGTGGACCCTTTGTTGAACAACTTTTGCTGCACTTGGAGCTTAGCCAGTAAGATTCCCTGTAACAGTCTTCAATCTCGCTCCAGGGAGACAACCAAGAGCAAAGGAGTGGGAGGGAAGAACCAAAGATCTTCCCTATGTGTCTTCTATGCTATGTGGCCTGTTTTTTTGCAGGTCACTTGGACCTGCAAAAAAACCCAGAAAAAAAATGAAACAAAATTTATGACTAAAATCATAATTTTCTTCACTTCTGATGTGTGCCCTTCACTGTGGCATCAGGGGAATTTATGATCAGACTTGTAGAGTGCTATAGGTTATACTGTTAATGTGTAGACTTACCTGAGCTGTGAATCTTTACAGCTCCTCTAGAGTTAACATAGATCTGCTTCTCTTATTAATGCTCCTCATTATTCAGTCTGTTAACTTTGTAAAATATTCAAAGCGTTGCATGTTGTTATAGAAGCTAACCCTATTTTAAGCTTCTCCACAACTGTCTGGTTAATTTATTGCTGTTTATCATGCTGTTCGTTTATTAATGTTCTTGAACAAATCCAAGATTTCTCCCCAGTGTATTGTAAGCCTGGCGGGTCACCAGGCTTTACTTGCAAAGTTTTGCAACCTTCAGGCAACCTTCTCACATCTATTTCTCTTCTTACTTCCAGGCGAGAAGCCCTACATTTGTCCTTATGAAGGCTGCAACAAACGCTACTCCAACTCCAGCGACCGCTTCAAGCACACGCGCACCCATTATGTGGACAAGCCTTACTGCTGCAAGATGGCGGGCTGTTTGAAACGCTACACGGATCCCAGCTCACTGCGGAAACACATCAAGGCCCACGGCCACTTTGTCGCCCAGGAGTCGGGTCCTTCTCCCAGGCTGCGGACTGGAATGGGGCTGGGGTTCTCTGGACACCAAAACCCCGCCGAGCTGCCCTCCGTAGGCGGGGGGCACGTCATCCTTCCAGGGACAGCGGCAGCTCTTCTCAGCAGCCTTGGAACGTCCTTGCCCCTCTCCGCTCTCTGCCACTCCAGGGCCTTGGATCACCACGGAGCGCCCATCTTCTCCATGAGTGGAGGCGGCCGCTGTGGGATCAGTCCACTCGGCCTTTCCGATTCTGCGCTGTTGCACCTCAGGCTCTCTGCCGCGTCTATGCTGGGGCTGGGAGCTCTGGGAGGTCTGGGTCAGGTGACAGGAAAGGAGCCAGAGGGAGACAGTGAAAACCAGGGGAAAAAAGAGGGCGAGGCTCTCAATCTGTCTGTCGGAGAGGGACCCAGACCAGGGGATTCTTTGTCTTGGGTCATTGTTCCCTCAAACACATTTTTCCTAAAGCCAACAGCTGTTAGTTAAGCTGTGAGAACCACTGTGAATATCGCAGCTTTGGAGGAGGATCAGATTTTAATGGAACCAAATGACATCTTATCATGGCTTGATTGCACAGTTAGGAAATCTGTGAGTTTTGGATGAACTTACTCGGTTATGGTACAGTGCAAACATTGCAGACATGCCTGGACAAGAATGTTTTTAAAAACACAAGAGGGAGTTCTCTTTGAGTTTCCCTTCAAAACAACATCAATTTCTAGAAGTACCCTTGCACATGGTTTTTAAAGGGGCAGTATTATGTTTTTCATGCTAATAATGCCATTTTATAACACAATCAAGTAACTGTGTTAACTTCAGTTGTTACAAAAAAGATATATATATATATATATATATATATATATATATATATATATATATATATATATATATATATCTTTTTTGTAACAACTATATATATCTTTTTTGTAACAACTATATATATATATATATATATATATATAAATTATGACTTGAAAGAAATTTGACTTTGTAATTTCTCACCTTGAAATTGGGCTTCTGCTTCTAAAAAACAATTGTGTGTATATATTGAAAACATTCTAATTTTATATTTTCCTGAACCTGTCTATAATATTTGCACTGTACCGTATATCCCTTCCCTTTACTGGATTTTCTTATGATTTCCAGGTACATTTATCACAGACTTTTGCCTGACAAATCGGCTGCGTCTTTGCACTTACGGAACAGTGGCACAATGCTTAATATAGTTACAGTGTGGAATTTATCTGGCAGTAAAAAGAAAAACAAAAACACACCACGTGATGAAAATGTTTTTATTTTTTTTTTAGCATCAGTTACTTAAGTTAATTGATTGTTTAATGGAGCAGGTTTGAATTACCGTAACATCCAGACTGCAGAGAGCATCCGAATGAAAGACACGCCCACTAACTTTAAAAAACAAAAGAAAAAGTCTGAAGAAGTTTGTTGTCGCTCTCAACGTCAATTTCGTCTTATGCCATCCTCTTCATCACTCCAGCCTGTCGAAACCCTTTGGCTAAATACCAGCTGCATCGCAGTGTTCAAAGCGTGTGAAAAAAGTAGCTCCTACAGTCTGGAAATTACGGTACTTTTAAAAGGCGAAAATGTGATACGACATAGGTTGGAGGTTAATTGGGAGATCAGTACGGTTACAGCTTTACAACTTCTATCAATCTAAATTTTCCATGTGCTACAGAACACCTGTGCCATGATAACAGGGTGTCTTTGGTTTTTGTGTTGGAACAAAAGTGGCTGTGTGTGAAAAGCTCACCTTAGCGCTCCCGCCGGCCCACAGGAAGGAAACTAATTAGCCCTCTGGGGAGTCCCGAAAGGTCTAATTAAATATATAATTTATGATTTACTCCACTAGATGCTTGACCGACCTATCAGTACTGCTACTGTGGATCTCAGCTGCATCGTTGCTTAGTTTCTCTTATAGCTCCTCTGAATCGAATTGGCACCTTTTCGTGCATGATGGCGAGACAGAAACTGCATCATTATACAGACATTGTGATGTTTTTTTTCTTTTTTCAGATCACAATAGGAAAATAAAATAATTTGACGCAACTGAATGTAGGGTTATGGTTAACTCCTGTATTTAGGGATAACTTTTTTTTAACGATAGCTTATTTGTCGCTGCATTCAAAGACAACGATCTAGGCAGGATCAGCCTGGCATCTTTTCAACGACGGATTGGTCATCGAGAAAGACAAAGGTGTGTGTGTGTTAATGCACATCTGCTTCAAGTGACTGTTAATATGAAGAAAAGCAGATTCTAAGAAACTGAATGATATCTTGATATCCTCAGAGTGTAAAAGAAAAAAAACCCATCCACATTAAAACCCGTCTGCATGTAGTTTGCATGTTAGGAATTTTGATGTTTTACTTAAACCAGCACACACTGCCAGTGTGCCCAAAGTTGTACTGCTAATATTATCGCAATTATTTACTTGTCTGTTGCTGTGTAAAATGGGTACATTTTATTATTTTCTCTTTTTTTGTTGTTGTTCAAATATAGGGAATAATTTGAAGCACCAGTTACAATTTAAGCAATGCCAAAGACGCTAAAAGGATGAAAGAAACATTTCCTTTTCTTAAAAAAAAAAACAAACTAGAAGAGTTCGACAATGGCCACAGGCGGCCAGTACCTGCGCTCATTTATCCTGTTTGCACATGACTTTACGGTAATCGGTATATCAAACGTTTTCCAAGTGCCTTGTGTTTCATCTGAATTATATAAACGGAAAATTTTTTCCTCCCATGTAAAAGTTTTGAAGTTTTTTTTTAAAAAAAAAAAAAAAAAAAAAAATCTGACAGCAGATGTTATCAAGACATCAGGGCCCTTTGCAACACTTTTCATCGACATCAAATGTTTTCATGATCTGTCAATAAAAACATAGAAAGAAAATCAAAATGGCCTGCCTCCCACTTTATTTATTTATTTAATTTTTGCAAAACTTGTTTTTTGTTGCTTTGGTATCATTTGAGTTCCTCGTGAAATTTCGGAGACGATTTTAGGTGTCGCCTTCAAGCGTTTTGCGTTTTGTCGTTCAGCCTGTGTGTCTACAAGCATTCGCCGTCTTTGGAGAGCAGAAACGATCGTTTTAGAAACCCGCTTCCAGAGTTGATTCATTTCAAAACGTCACAAAAATCAAGCATTCTGTTCTTTCTGTCCTTTTTTTGGAAGTGTTACAGCGCCACCCATTGGCCCGGCATACTTACTACATCAATTGCTAATGAGAAAAACTTGAAATGTTCCCACTTTCTTTGGGAACTTTGTTTTGGATTTTAAGACACGTATCACACGCGATATAATGATTCTTAATATCTTGCTTTTAATGACTCCATCCGTCTACATTAATTAGAAATGTAACTATCACTGTTGTAAGAAGAGGATCCAAGCACGGAGAAGGACGGATAAAGGGATGTTTCCATGAGGTCCACCTCAACCTGACAGACATAAGCATGCAGTAAATAAATCGATTTTCAATCAGTTTTATCCACCAAAGAGTTAAGAATAAACTCGTTTTCACCGAGGCTCTTTAAGTGTGTATATATTTGAAATTTTCAATTGACATTTGTGACTGTAGACCAGCCATGATGTGGTAAGCAATATAAGCTTATTGCGAGGGAACGCAAAAGAAAACTTCTTTTGCGAGTAAAATTAATGTGAGACTTTATCCTGGACGCCATGTCGTAAAAATCCCATCGAAAGACAATTAAAATAAAATGTGAAGAATTTCGACAGGTACAGCTTTTCTGAGTGGCAGAATGCCTGACAAGTAGGTTGTACTTTTACAGAGGCTCTTTAGAGGCTCCATCATTTACTGTTCCAAATCGAATTATGTCGCTTCATTTACTGACTTGTGTTCTCTCGGCGTCTCTCCTCTCAGGTGTCAAATGTTTTTCGATGGAACGAGAGATGCTTCAACGCCAGAAGCTGTGTACAAAACACACAATGAAAAGCAAAGAAAGTGAAGCTCTTCAGATCAGGTGTGGCCCAGTAACTTCCCACCCTTTTGATCTCCTTTGTCTTTTATTTAAGAGCGTTACCAGGTTGCATCACGATGCACACGCCAGACACATCATTTTCTGTTAGAATAAAGTGCATTTTATGGTTGTTAACTTCATACTAGTTGACAGTTGCGCTCACACCAATGACAAGCCGCACGGCTGTCTGACCTGCAATACGAGCTTTTCACGTCTGGAAAACCTGAAGATTCATGTTACCGCAGAGCTCTGGGACGAGGTTCAAGGAAATGCTTTTAAAAAAAAAAAAAAAACTGTTTCTGTGAAACAGCGACGTGAAAAGCCCATTCTTTCCTGTCGCTGACTGCGTTTCCATTGACAAGACGTCTGCGCAAATTGAAATTACAAAAATAAATGTACTTAATGCCAACTTTCAAAGAGAAAAAAAAATCACATTTTTAGGCTATGTGATATATGCACAAAACATTAAACCACACAGAACCAGGCTAATTAATTAAGAAGAACTCATCAATCCATCACACATCAAACCACCATGGGCGTTTTCCTCATACCTAAGGGTAATTATAGGCCCATTACGCCATGCTAGCCACAAAATTTGTAGAAATGTTAATCAAAATCGAGCTGTGAGTATTTGTTGAACACTCAGCTGTGTTGAGTTTGTTTTTTATTTAAAATAAAGAGATCATGACGTGTTGTTTTGGATCTTTGATTCAGTTATTTCTTTTCATTTCTTATTTTCTCTCATCCAAGCCTTACTCCCTCTGTCATTAACAGAACTAATGTGACATTTATTAAGAAGAATATATAGTTCTCACTAGACTTGGAGCTTTTAACTTTGTAAAGGTTAAATGACGAAGCAAACGCTGCTGCGTTTACATGGGATAATGTTACTGACGCCTTTCCACCCAGCTAGAGTAAATATTAATTATTTCACTGATCAGAGGTTGTAAAATTTGAATGCGCTAACGGTCAGTTATCTGACGTTTTCCTGTCTCTTTGATAGCTCAGGAAAGTCCCGATGCACACAGATAAGAATCACAGAGGAGAGAAATATTATGTTATTTTAACGACTTTATGATTTATGCGTTGTAGTTGTGAAGGATCTTTTTTCCCTGCCTGGGAAAGAACATATGAAATCTGAGAAGGTGTAGTACCAGGTAAAACAGGTCTTGTTTGCAACGAACCTTTCAGATTACTCTGTTTCGTAGAAGCAGAGAACATGATGACCTGGTTCTGGTGGATGTATTAGGGTAATGTAATCCTGTTCAGTGTGGAAACTTGATCCTGCAGGAAAGCATAAACAGCATATTTTCCAAACTTCTTTATATGATCTTTATATAGACAATAAGTTTACCTCATTCGAACAGCTAACACAGAAATTTGACATCCACAAGTCACAGTGGTATTTACAATTGAGACATTTTGCAATGTCGAATTCTGGATGTTTTCCTCTACGTCCTCTGACTTCTCTTTTAGAGGAATTTTCCACGGTTCAGATCTGTAGAGGACAAAGTCAATAGAAGTGTGATCTATAGTTACTGAGCTTCACACTGAAACTACATTTATTCATATTTTTGATTCTCCTGATATTTATTCATGCTATAATGAAACGGTAGAAGGAAAAAAAATGTAAATTTAACATTTCCAACCATGCTTTCAGTTTTTCTTTTTAAATTACCATCAATAACTGAAATTAAGCATGAAAACAATAAATTAGAAGATTTGGACACATCCAGAAACGAGTTGCTCGCAATTTTGATGGTTGTGCAGGAGGATCCACTTCTGCTTTTCAAAGATGTATGGTTGCATAACTCTGCATCCGTTTGCAGCCATTTTCACATCCGAGTGTAAACTTTGAATTAGCGTTTGGGGGTCGTGGCCAGGAATGACTTATTGGACTTAAAGTGACAAGACGCCTTAAAACATCTTGTTCTGAAAGGAGCTCAAGTGAGCAGACTAAAATCTTATCTAAGAATTATTTTGTGCATAAAAATGTAACGATCATGTTTTGTATAATGCATCGACCTAACCTAACCTGTTCAACGAAGTACAAATGGTGTGTGACCTTTAAGTTTGCAGGTAATTGTAGATATAAATATACAATTTTAGTTAATATTCAAATGAAAGTAAATTAGCTCTAATCTATGGGGCCAGACTATAGAAACGATCAAGTACTTTACTTGGTAAAGTGCTGTCCAATTAAAAGAGGTTTAAAAAAAACTTTGACAGTTCCTGGAGCGTAGCTTTCCAACTTCCTCTGTTACGGTTTTAGTATTAACTTCTCACTCCTGTTACCTTTATTGGACAATAAATGAGTGACTATTATTTTTCAAAATTTCCTCTTTCTCAGAATCTTCCTTCTGCTTTCTAATATCCGTTTCTCTATTATTTCAAGGAAAAAAGCCATCTGGCATCTGTGAAGGCTGCAACACAATGCTGTTCAAGCTTTAGCGAGTGTCACCGGTAGCCGTAACGCGGATCAGCCCGACCGCAGCAAAGGGACAAAGGCCGGAGAGCTGAACCTTTTTTTTTTTTTAAACTAACGGAGAGCCATAAAACAGCATATTGGTTATTTGTCACTGAGCCGTCAGGAGGCCTGAGAGCTCAGAGCCAGAAGACGGAAGCTTTTGTAATGATTAAGCCACTTTAATGCTTCACATGTAAAAAAAAAAAAAAATGACGCCCATGTACTCACAATATATTGGTGAAATTTGTGCAAATTAGGCACAAAGCATAACAGAAGCAGTTTATGCATGTAAGAAAACCATGACCTGGTTGTGGGGTGAAAGGTCATTCAGCGAAGTAGATGGTGTCACCCCAAAAGCAAAAGACAAATTAATGAAGAGAAAAAAAAATAATGTTAAAACTAACAAAATAACTAAAACTGATATTGAGATTTTCATTAGCTGAAACAGACATAAATAAAAATGGTAACTGAAGTGTAAAAATTGTGACGTTCATGTGACACCTGGTGTTGTTGAATGTAGAACAATGTGTGGTGTTAATTTATCAAAAAAAAAAAATGGGTGCAAACTTTGTAACTCTTTCAGAAATGCTGATTTAACACCAGGTAGTGTGAACGCTGTTAAAGTAAGACTGGCATTTTTATTGCAGAAATATTTAATTTGAAAGTCAAATCGTTGGTTTGTAAGCTAAATATTTAACTTAATTAAATATTAAGTTTGCAGCTTTACTGTAGGAGTAAAATATGACTTTGAAAAATGAACACCCAAACAAACCAAACGTTAAGTGTTTACTGTGTAACTTTACAAACTTCATACCAATATTTGCATAAAAACAGTCTTAGGCTACAATAATAATAATAATAATAATAATAATAATAATAATAATAATAATAATAATAATAATAATAATAATAAAATTCACTCAGCCCTAACAAATTACATAAAACTTATCTTATAAAGCGCAGCCTGCATGAATGGACGGTTTGGGAGCCTAATTTAATTGAAAGTTTAGATTAGAAACGTTTTTTTTTTCATTATTACAATTGGAGGTGTGTTCTTTTCTTCAGTATCACGCCCCTCACATTTTTCTTTTCGTTTTCCGTGTTAGCAGAAGTTGAAGTGTTCACTCCCCCGGTGACTGCAGCAAGTTGTACACCTGTCCATAGAAATGACTCGTCCCTTCCGCGGGTGAGAGGCTACAGTACTGGGGGGCGACCATTGAACCCGGAGGCTCGGAGCGGGTCGGCTCGGTTCGCAGCAGCAGCAGCAGCCATGGGGGACCAAGGCGCTGGTTCGGATGGAGAACTTGGCCTGAGAAGGTAAGGGCTCTGAATTATTGAACTCACTGAAACTTCAGTCAACAAACCTGGAGAAGGAATTGTAGTTCAACATGCTACAGCCTGATCTCTTCCACAGAGAACACGCTGTTACTTTTTATATCAGAGGTAAATCTTAACTTGGTCAAATCCTCTCTGCCCGACTTTAATATTTTTGAAGCGATTTTTAAAAAATATATATTTTTAGGCCATGCCAGCTCCGTTATAATACAAGCGGCATTTTAATTTTAAGCATTTATTAATTTTCCTTGTCTCCAGGATTGAGCCTTGGGGTGCTCCGTGTGTGCTTCTTTCTGTTTTCTTAGCTTTGTTAGGTTCACCACTCTGTTGTGACTTTAAATGGCTTTAAAATGTTTCTGATCTTCATGGATGAAGGGATCTCAATCACTTTGCTGATCAAACATTTTCGTATTTCTGTAGTTTGTTGCCTTTTGAGATCTTTGTGCCTACTTCATGTTGTCAGACAGATTCTATGAAAGAAGACACGTCTTGATTCTACAGCAATAGCCTAAAAATAAATAAATAAATAAATGTTCCACATAAAAAATTACAAAAAAAAAAAAAAAAAAAAAAAAAAAAGGGAAATTTTTTTTTCAAAAAAGGCCAGGGGGGTTTGGGCAGTTTTTTTTAAAAAAAAAAAATA